AAAAAAAAAAAAAAAAAAAAATAGTAAAACATTGGCAATTTTTATGAGAATGATAATATAATTAAAAAAAATAAATAAAAATCTTACCTGATCTTGAATGAGATGAATAGGGCAGAGAAATATCAAATATATGTGAAGAAAACTGAAGAATGGGTTGAGAGCATAAAAGCCAGAGCTACTAATGTGTTGATGTGAATGAACAAAAAACATCATGCTTTTTATAGAAGAAATAAATTGTATTTCTCATTATCCCAATTTTTTATTTTTTTTATGTAAAGTAAACAATGTGATAAAATCAGTACTAATTGAATTAAGTTTTCATCATATATTAGTTGTATTTCAATATAATAGAAAAAAGTAAATAAATTACATGAATGCGTCGAATGCGGCTCTCGTAATCGAGCAATCACATTATAGTCAACGGCAAATTCATAAATTATCCATTTTTAAAGGAAAAATATCTTTCGAATATGCTATCATTCAATTCACGTGTTTGAGAAATATCTCGGTGTGGCATATTTTGTTAATTAATATGTAATGCGATTTTCCTTTTGCTAACTGCATGTGTGGTACGTGTTTTCATCTCTGCCGTCACTTCTCACACGTGTCTTCAGTGATACCGAATAGAAAAAAGTCTTGAAAAGTGAATTGCTTTCTTATAATTCTATTCCATTTAACCATTTTTATACTCATAGGAACAAAATGAATAGTAAGTTGAGGATTTTATTTATTTAATATAGTATAGAGAAAAAATTAGGAAGTGATATTTCAATTAATTGACTCAAATTAAAACTACAATGGTATTATAGACCTATGTTGTGTTGGATATATATGTCATGTACTTGTCTTTGAGGAATGACATGAAATGAATCACAAACACCTATGTTGTGTTGGATATATATATGTCAATGTACTTGTATTTGAGGAATGACATGAAATGAATCACAAACAATATCAGAGGTGCGTTCATTTAGGATTTCGAATGACATTTTTAGACTTCTTGAGATTTAAGATTTTTTAATATTTTCATATTTTGGAGGAACCTTATGAAACCTTAAGTCTGTAGGTGAGATTTTGAGTGAGATTTCATATACGTTTTTTTTCTTTTGAAATTCCAGCAAATCTTAAATTTTTTGAACAATTTATAGTTTTAAATAAGTTAAATACCTTAAGAATTTATAAAACTTTTTAGGATCTTAAATGATACCCCAAGACTTTTAAGGTGTTGCTTGGATACAAGGTATCAAAAAATATCCGAACATTTTTAACTCAATTACATTTTTTAACTCAACTTTAATTCAATCCACTATTTTCAACATTATTATCAACATAATTATTTAAAACCAATCAATAATTCTTACACATTACACTAATTTTATTTCACTATTCATTCATTCACATAAATTTAACTAAATATCAATTCACATCATCTCATATGGATACTTTTATATCGTATTAACTTTAATTTTTCTACTTTAAATATTATTTTAATATGCACGCTAACAACTAATCATACCACATTTTTTTTTTTAAATTAACCAAACCAAACTAAAATACCCAAACACAACCAAGTGAACACCCCATTGGATATAATTTAAGCATGTGAAACATGTTTGCCGTAATAAAAAATTATCACTTAATACCCACATTTATCAACATACATCCCCCAATATACAATAATTTTTATCTTGTTTACACTGACATTCAAATACACAAGATTTCAATGAGCATACTCGTCTATAGGAATTTCAAATAATAAAGAAAATGATGAATGTAAAATACTATAATATAATTATGTTCCAACATGTTAATTATTTTTCATTTAATTTGCGTGAAATGAATGTATGAATATTTATAAACATGAGAAGGCATCATCATGGTTTGCTTGGACCAATAGACACATATACACATGGCCACGGGCGACCCGGCCCGTGGCCCGACCCATGACTCGGTACCGGACCGACCCGGCCCGGTACCGGTACCGGCATGAATAGTGTCGGGTTCGAGAACCGGACCGCGGCCAATCCCGTCCGGTTAAGGGTCACGGTTTTTTTTTTTTTTTGGTCCCAGCGGGCCAGGCCGGGCCGGGCCATTTTTTTTGCTTTTTTTAAGGGCCGTACCGACCCGTGAACCGCCGGGCCCGGACCCGGCACCTGGCCACGTCTAGACACATACTCGGAAGAACCCAAATGAGAACAGATGCACCTGTAAGCCAAAACAATAATATTTGGACAAAAAGGAGCGCGACCCATCACATACTGGTGGCACAACTAGGCAGAGATCGCTATCACAATAGGCGTCGTTGGTTGCAACAAGCCCAACACCTGCGAGCACTACTGCATGCAACTGTCTCAACCAAGCAATTCTTACTCACTATAATTAGTACAGAGCCCGTGCGATATACGGGGTGTATAATTTTAATTAGGTCATTTATCCAGCCTTATAATTATATAAATGAATAAAAAAAACGTATGGAATATATATAGTACGTGACCTGTGCGAGGCACGAGGTATATTTATTTGGGAATTATTATACTATAAGATGGAATATTCAATAAAAGTTTTACAATACACGAAATAAATATAAATAATGTAAATATCTAAATACATACACAATATGTAGAATAAATAAGTCAAATTACAAATCTGAAAATATAATTAAATAAAAATAAAAAATATTCACTAAACATGTACAAAAATATCTAAATACATACACGAAAAAAAAAATTAAAATATACGTTTCAAATTTCGAATTTAAAATAAAAATTCAAAAAATTTGGCTTACAGTTTTATCATGCAGAACCAACTCGAGATATGATTTGTATATATTGTCCCAGTCTTAGAAAAATATTCTCACAATTCGAACTTTGAGCATAGGTCTATTAGACCTATTGACTTGTTTAATTAACCCAAATACTTCATTCATTATTTTGAATAAAAGACTGATTGGGGATATTTTTTGTTCGCAGGAGGTTCACAATGAGGAAGATGATGACTCGATATTTTGAGATTTGTAATTTATAATGGGTATAGTAGATATATATTATTGTTAATATTTTTATTATAAAATCTGAATCTGAATATACAGAAATCGGTTTGAACAAAATCAGAACAAATTTCTATACAATTAGATAATAAATTAGATAACAAATAAAGCCATTTTTTTATTTGAGTAAAGATTTTACGTACTTTTTTTTTACTTGTAGGATGTTATGAGGTTTTTTTGTTAAACCAATTTTATGGGATATAATACAAATACAATTAGAGGATTGAGCAAAATCAGAACAAATTTCCATACAATTAGACAATAAGAAGGAATTAGATAAGGAAAATAATGAATTAGATAATAAGAAGGAATTAGATAAGGAATTTTGAATCTGCATTTTTTAGTATAGATAGACATTACATACAAATTTTGACTTCACCGATTTTATGGGATTTGTTTTGACAAAATCGATGTTAATATGGAATAAAACAAATAAATAAAGTCTTTTTATTTTAGTAAAGATTTTACATCTTTTTTTTTACTTATCAAATGTTATGAGATTTTTTTTCTTAAACTGGTTTTATGGGATATAAGACATATAAATAAAATAATTAAATAAAATTATGGATAGAAATATCAATGCATTAATTATGTTGACTTTTCAATCTACTAAATTTGGTAAATAAGATACCTTATTATATAAGTATAGATGTCTATTTATGATAACCAACATTTAAGCCACTTAAACTCAATTTTGGGTGACAAAAAATGAAAAAATTCATAAAATTTTACATGTACAACTTACAATTATTTTTTAGTCTATTCTAAAATAACACATAGATTTTTTTTTTAAAATATTTCACTATTTTAGTGATTATTCCTAAACGATGGACCGTACATTTTTTGTTTATTACTATTTTGGTAGTGTAGAGATAAAATGCGGCTTAAATAGAAAATAAAGGCTTATTTGCAAATCAAAATACATAATAGTTGATACTAGATATATTACTTTTATATGTGAATTAATCAGGATATTGTTGAATTAACACGGTACATTTCAAGCCCAATCATTGAAAGGCGTTATTCATGATTCTCCTATGTTTCGAACAAATGTTGATACACAATTCTCCTATGTCTCTCTCTCTCAAACTCCTCGTCTCTTCCCACAAAAAAAAAAAAGCCCAAAATTCCTTTAACCTAACCTCTCTACTGGCGACCCCCGTACACCAAATTCCGGCCAACATCTGTCCAACCCAAGGCCTGGCGGCACGGTGTTGGCAGGCAGTTCGTCCTTTTCCCTGAGTAGTCCCGATCTACAAGTTTAAAAGTTACAAACAAAAGTTCTAATTATAATATAAATTATAATATACAAAGTTACAATCAAAAGTTTAAAACGTTAGCAAAAATAGGACCACTTAAAATGATAATTTAAAATGATATCAGAACAAGACAAACGACTAACTAAAAAATTAGAGTGTTAATTAAAAAGAACGAGTCTTAGAAATATTTATTTTGATATATGTCGAGAATATATTAAAAACGAATGTAATAAGGTATACTATTTTACATGAAATTGAAAACTCTGAATTTTATTATGAAATGAAGATGAAAAGTGAAAGAAAATTAAAAACATTAATAAGAATACAAAAAACAAATAACCGTTGCATAAAATAGCGTATAACAACAATATCATAAAATAGCATATAACAAAAATGCTACATCCACACCAAGTGCGTACTACCCGTATGGGTAGCATCGACTGAACCGAGTTGGTGTTATTGTTGGTGTGTTGTGGTAAACTAGGCTCCCGTATGAGATATCCTCCGACTGGATTAAGCTTTTAGCTGATTTCTAGATGTACCTTTGTGTTATTTTCTCTTTTATATAAAAGTCTAGGAAAAAAAAAAAAAAAAATCTTAAGGGCCAAAAGTGTAAAACATAAATTCTTGGGGATGTAAAAGGAGTTTTACAAAATTTTAGTGGACTTTTATAGATTAAAAAAATAAATATATTCCCCTGCTCACGGTGGGCAGTGTCCACTAGTTTGTTTTATATGAAAAACATATTTTGAAAATACGTTTTTCAATTAAATTTAATTAAAAAAACGTATTTTCAGAATACGTTTTTCATATAAAACAAACTAGTGGGCACTGCCCACCGTGGGCAGGTGAGCAGGACTGATTAAAAAAATTAATTTACAAAGCATATTAAGGAAAAGCCGAGGACAAAAGACGGGAAAAGCCGAAAGAGATTCACAGCGCATCTCACCCATTTTCTCTCTCTGTCAGGTATCACTTCTCTCTCTGAAGGCCCGCATAATATCCGCGGCGTTACGGTTACGTGCTTTTCTGTGTGTGTTTTTGAGTACGTGCGTAAATGCGTGTGATGATCATGATGATTGCAGCCGTGCTTTGATTGAATCCAGAGTTGCTTTGATTAGGGTTATTGCCTGTTCATCTCCGAATGATTATTAGGGTTTCGTTGTTCAATTGATTGTTACTTGTGTGTGTGTGCTTTTCGTTTTTTTTTTTTTTTTTTTTTTTTTTTTTTTTTTTTTTTTTTTTTTGTGTTCTTTTTGTTTTGCGCCTTTGTGGAGTAGCTGTATATTGAATTCTCTGTGGTGGGCTTGTTGGAGAGAAATTTTTTGCCCATTTTGAGTTTTGTGTTATAAATATTAGTTGAGATTACTGATTTATACTGGAATTTTCTCTATCATTTATACTTTTGTGGGTGAAAGTTACTCCGATTCAGCGTTCCGACATATTTGGGGTATGAGTGGAGAGTGGTACTTATTATTCAGTGTTTGTTCGTATAGTTGTCTTATTCAGTTCGATTTGGTTATCCCTGACTCGTCAATACTCCCTGTTTCATAATCAGTACCTCGTGCAAATATGTATGCGGATACTACCTTTTCTTGCTTGCTTGATTTCGTTGAAATGACCTAATTGGTTATCGGAATGGCTACTGTTTCTTGTGTATGTAGTATGCACTTCTTTGATTGTTGAAGTTCTCATTGATTAATACTTTGTAGTTGAAGTTGCAAATTATTAGCTCAGTTTCAACGATCATCAAGTGGATTATTTATAGTTCTAATCCATTTAAGCTATTTGTTTTCTAATGTGATTTATCGACATATTTCAACTTCTTTCAAGTAGTGGTTTTTCTGAGGGGTGGTTCTTCCTTTGTGATTTGTCAGTTTAACTTACTATTGAAGTGGTAATAGCAGGTTTCGAACTGGAATCCAGTTGGCCTCTGCGTTGATCTTGAACTGGCGTAGGACATGGCGATGAACCAGAGGAACACCATTGATTTGGATCAAGGATGGGATTTTATGCAGAAAGGGATTACGAAACTGAAAAATATACTCGAAGGACTGCCTGAGCAACAATTCAGTTCAGAGGACTACATGATGCTCTACACGTACTATCCTAATACTTTATATTTGTTAACAGTAAGAATTAAATTTCTTGACTAATATATCCTCAAGTATTAAATAATGAAGAGAGTGGAAGATCCAACAGTAATTAAGAATCAACCAATGTTGTCAAATAACATCTAAATGAAACTATAGTAGAATGTCAGGGATTTTAGTCTCCCCAAAAATTTCCATATGCCTGAAGGCGGTTGATGGCACCCAACATCGCCATAGCCACGGTGGCATGGTGGTTTATCATGGCCATAGGGGAATTTTCTGATTACTATCTTTTTTATCTCTAGTTTAAACCTCATTGATGATATGCCTTTCTTTATTTAAAAACCTGTTCAGATTTAGAAGTTGCACCCTCTTTTAAGAGGTTAAGGTTCTCTTAACCCATCTGTTTCTTGCTCTTTGTCAAGGTTTGTAAAAGCCCAACACCATCAACCCTTTACCAGCAACCTCAAACGACAGCTGTCTCATAGCAGCTTGTGAACAGAAGACAGCTCTCTCCTAGAATAACTGTTTTTTTTATTCACAAGTTCTTTCGTTTGAGTTTCCTTAAGTATAACTTGAAGAGCATGTAGTGATTATGTTTTTAAAACATTCATTCATTTAGATTTCTTTTCTCCAAATGAAATTACCTTGCTTTTCTTTGTTTTATTTTATTTTTCAACTTGTTTTTTTATCTATCTAGCTACATTTATCCACCTTTATTCACTTTATTTTTTATTGTTTATTTATTGTGTTACACAAATAATGTTTTCCTCAGTCTGTTTTCTTATAGAACAATGTCAAGCTCTCAAGATCAAAGCCATGCATGCTCAAACTCTGCTACTATTAATTCCTTTTTTTTTTGTTTGAGATTTTACCTTATAATTACATGTTTTTTTTAATCCTTTTTTTTTTTTTTACTTTATACGTATATATTGATATATACAAATGTACGCATACACTTGTCTACTATGGAGTTCACCATGGGGCACCTGGAATCAGTGTATTGTTAGTTTACCATGACGGGCTGTTATCTGTCATGCTAACCTTGGAATCAGTGTTGCCGTATGGCGGAAAATGGCAGCAGGCTAAAATCCCACCATTGCACCCACAATGGCGGCCTGTGGCGCGGCCATAACCATCCTTTAGAAATTTCTGATGGCGGTTTGGCAGAAATCCGCCATGCCATAGCGCCATGGCGGAAATTTGGTAACACTGCTTGGAATTGACAGAATTCAATTATTAGTAGTAAGATATTCTGGGAGAGTAAGAGTGGAGATTGTGATACGGAACTAGGGATAAAAATGTAAAATACATCTGAAATGTGAATTAATTGAAAACACAATATGGGGGGGGGGGGAGTAGATTTTATGCTATGATGAACTTATAACCGTTTTTAAGAAAATTATTTTTAATTACAGGACAATATATAACATGTGCACCCAAAAGCCCCCTCATGATTATTCTCAGCAATTGTACGACAATTATCGGGAGGCTTTTGAAGAGTACATTACATCAACGGTAAGGATGAAAGCATATGTTCCACTCAATGGTAGGCGCTACAAATGTGCCTAACTACCTATATGTCCATCAAAATTTACCTTTTGGGATTTCTGAAAGTCTTTCTAAACTTTTGTTTACATTTTATCTTAGTATACCGTCGAATGTCTGTTGTCAGAAAATCACAAATGTCTTTTAATTGACATTTTGATGTTTACTCCACTTTCCATCGTATGCATTGAGTGCACTTATTGGCAGAATAGACTGAATGGTTGCCAGATGTGTTTCGAAAAACAAGTACTGTTTTCATATTTGGTTCGAAGTGTTACGGCTGTACCCCTAGGATAATACCATTTTTTTGAGAAACTTCAAACTTAATAAATCAGTTCATTTTTTCCCCATTTTTTCTACATTCTGGGTCCTATTAGTTGTTTTCCCGTTCATGGTTGTTGGAGTAATTTTTTCCATAATGCTATATACATATCTATATATTGATAATTTGATATATATGTAAATTAACACGTAAATCTTGGATAGCGCTTTCATTACCATACTCGTTATACTTTTAATAGCTCTATCATGGCTTATTTGTTTGCTTCGTATCTAAAATTTGGATTTTCTTCATGCCATTCATTTTGGATTTTTTTTTTTTTTTT